TTTACCAAACACTTTTAACTTCTCAAAAACAGCCCTTCCACAACAGATTCCATCTAACAGAACTTCTATTAAAAAGACCAGCCACACCAAACAGGTTCTAAGTCGGTTACCACTTGATGCAGCTGCTCGTTACTAGTGGACACCACTGATGGTGAGACCCGTTTCTCCCCACGTCCCAACCAAAGAAAAAAAAAAACCTAAAACAGCAACTTCATCCCCAATCTCAAGATCCCAATTTCCAGATCTAGGGTTTTTCAAATTCTTAACTTTGTAATCTCAAGAACCCAGTTTCCAGTTACCATGCCATCGCTCTTGACCTCAGAGGCTATGGCGACATCGACGCGCCAGAATCAATCTCCAGCTACACTTGCTTCCACTTGGTCAGCGATCTGATTGGCCTACTTGATGCGGTTGTTGTCGTCCAAGAGAAAGTGTTCGTGGTTAGCCATGGCTGGGGCGTGACCATCAGTTGGTACTTGTGCTTGTTTCGGCCGGACAAAGTCAAGGCTTATGTGAGCTTGAGTGTGCCTTTTTGAAGAATAAATTCGATGATGAGAGTGAAACCAGTTGATTCCTTAAAAGCATTTTTTGGCGACGATATTACATCTGTAGATTTTAGGTAACACATGATTCTTCATCTTCTGATCTTCTGATCAATTTCAATTCATTTTTTCTTAATCGATTGACATTAATTTGCAGGAGCAAGGGGAAATAGAAGCAGAGTTTGCATAGATCGGAACAGAGGAACTTATGAAGGAGTTCCTAACATACAAGCTTCCAAATCCTCTTCGTTTCCCTAAAGGGTGAAAAATAAATCTCTGCCCCTCTCAACTCTTATTGAAATACTCAAGCAGAAAACTGGTAAAGATGACATTGATGAGGGAAAGCTCAGGCGAACCCTTTTTGATGTCTTTGGTAAGGATGCAAGCCCCTAAGTGAAGAAATTCATGATCTTTAACAAACTCCAGCAAGTTGATGGTGAAAGTGGAGGTGGTGGTGGTCTCTTTGGGATGGTTGGTGGTCTGGCACAAGAGTTTCTCAAGCAAAAGCTGGATGAGAATGATGAATCATATGGCAAACCTGCATTGGAGACACAAGTGGGCAGCAAGCAAGAGGTTTATGCTGGATCAACCAAGCGCTCATTACCTGATGACGGGATTTTGATCAGTGGCTGTCAGACCAACCAAACTTCTGCGGATGCCAGTCCTTCGGGACATTCTGCTGAAGCTTATGGAGCCCTTAGCAATGCAATTCAGACAATACTTGCTGAGGCTGATGGTCCTGTTACTAATTAGGAGCTTGTTTTGAAGGCTAGGGAAATGCTGAAGAGACAGGGTTTCACTCAGCGCCCTGGCCTCTATTGTGGTGACAATCATGTTGATGCTCCATTTGTGTGCTGATCGACCCTAAAATGAACATTTGTCAGATATCAAAACAAATAATTTGATCTACGTGTGCATTATGCAAGTGTGTGTTTGTTATCCTTGAACTGTACGGTTTGCTGTTTGGATTTTGTAGACAGTAAATGTTGAGCAGAAATGAATTTCTATTGCAGCTATAACTTTGAATGACAGTTCTGTTACAAGTTAGTCCAAGTAGATTCATAATAGGGATTATAGTATTTTTTTTCTCTTATAAAAATGTTGATAGCATACAAAATTATATGCTATAAAATGGAGCTATCGTTCAAAAAAATTAATCAAAACAACAAGGCTGCGCAACTCCATAAGATGGTGAAGATCAATTTTTCTTGTCCTTTCTCTACAAAGCTCATGCTGCTTCCATTTAACTTACTTGAATATGTTTCCTGACAAAAATGGCAGCGTTAAGTAAACTGAATCGTGCTTTATTTTAATCCTCAGTATCTTGAACCCATGCCAATTCTGCAAGCAAGATTTTTCAAGTTATGCAGGTTTTATTTATTTCCTCTACTCTTAGAAGAGGGGATACAAGAAGGTCTATGTGACAGAAAATGAAGATAAATCTCGATGCCTCATCAGATGAATTAGGACTGTGCAAATTGTGAATAAAAACAACTTCGAACCCTCAATCTAGTTACAAAAGAAATAAACAGAAATTATGTGGGTGCATGTGTTTGTGTGCATGTGTTGGTGGTGAGGAGGCTCAGAGTTATGTGTTCATGAGAGAGAACCTTGAAGCACAGTTTGGACTACTGCATATTTGGCACAAGAAGCCTGACAATCCGCTGGTTATCAATTGTGGTTTCTAGCCGTATATGACTCTCAGTAGCCTGCAAATTGTCTCCAGGCTAAGTCCAGGTCAGGTCAGGTCACCCCAGCAAAAAGCAGCTGCTGCTGCTGCTCAAAATTCCAAGGACAGCTGATTCCTTGTCGGAGCATGCTTGCTATGAAAGCTGCAATGCCAGAGCCTTTGTGGGCAGCAAATTGTTGAATCCATAAAACCCAATTTTGATAAACTGTTTTTGCTCTCCAATCTTTTATCAATTTCTTCATTTCGTGTCTCCTGAATAGTCTTTGGAATCTCAATTTGTCCCAGTTTGGCATCATCATAGATGGTAGTGAAAGAAACAACATGATTTAAGAGGGTAGAAGGATATTGGAGATAAATTTTGCAGCAGACCACGAGGATGCTCATCAAGACTGGAAAATAAATGAGACTTTGTTGAGAAAGAAGATTACATGCAATATCTACAAGAACTTTAACTGAATTGATACCTACTAACTTAAAATTTTTAATTTGGGATCATTGTAAGTAGCTAACTCCTAATGCACTAAAAAGAGAGACAAAACTTCTTCAGGTTAAGTGTCTCCTTGACTGCTAACAAACATGCTTCTATTATCTTGACTAAAGATGCAGAAAGATTCTTGAGTAACTAGAAAGGTAATGGATTCACGAGCTGCAGGCTACCAACAAACAGCTTAATTTGGTCCTAATCTGATTATTGTTACCAAAGATTCAATGGAAGCTTCCAATTCTTAGGGATGTCAATCATTCTCTTGCATCATTTTCTTCGTGTTTTCTTCCATAGGCTCAAATTTCGTTTGATGAAGCAGATATCGCTCGAGAAAACTGGCGATAATCTGGTGCTTTGATAACTCGAGTATGCAAAAGGACAAATTTGACTAAGAAAGCAAGAAATTTGGATGAAAATATCCAAAGTGTTTTAGTCAATTAGGTCAATTTTTTTAATATAGAATTAATTATTGAACATCACAAAAATTTAAATTTTTAACCTTTAATTCAAATTCAAAAATTTTAAATTAACAAATATCAATTCAAATTTGTTGTTAGGTCAGCTTCAACTTTTTTTTTTTTTTCGACAAGAACAATAATTAATAAATTAATTTTATTAATTGTTAATAACTAAAAATTCAACTTTCAAATATGGTGAACATTCCACCTTCCTCAATAAAAACCGCGCGGCCCATCGGCAGCTTGGTGGGATTCAGGTCAGCTTCAACTAGGTCATGTTAAACACGTTGTTGTCGATTGAAAAGTATATGCAGATAAGTATGGACAGGCGGCTGGACCTTAGAACTTAGAATTAGAACAGTCAACATCCACATGTTCATAGAGATATATATATATATATAT